ACTATTTTATTAATACTTTCAGTTCATGATACAGACTCTTAAAGTCATTGAGGCGCCGGAATTTGTTGCCCCCACGAAGAGTAGTCAACACGTATTCTACGTTTATGCTGGCTCAACTCTGGAAATCCCTCTCTATGCCAAGCCATACAAATCAGCTTCAAGGTACGCACTGTGTTTAATAGGGCATCATTTCATCAGCACATAAAGACACACAGTTCCATCATTATTTATTTGGATAAATGTTTATTTCAGTAAAGTGGACTTCTTCCATGTGAGGTCTATTCCAAGTCGAACATTTGTCCTCCCACCACTGAAATCCGACATGAATCGTACGAATGATGACATCAAGTACACTATTGTACAATGGCGCACGGAGAAGTCTGATGTGGGAACCTATGTCATCGGTGCACTAGCTACAGACGACAAGGGGTAAACCGAGTGCGTGAGTGAGTACGGTTTTACGCCGCTTTTAGCAATGTTGCAGCAATATCACGGCGGGGACACCAGAAATGGGCTTCACACATTGTGCTCATATGGGAAATCGAATCCGGGTCTTCGGCGTGACGAGCGAACGCTTTAACCACCAGGCTACCCCTCCGCCCCAGGGGTAAACTAAACACGAGTTATTACCAATTGTTTCATTAATATGTGGGTTTGTGTTAAGAGCAATTATGACTTAACAATATGGCGGAATTGAACTTGACCACTGAAGGCAAAAATGTAACAGCATTCTAACAGAAACATAATTAACGACTGAATTTATATCCTTTGTAACTTACTATGAATGCACTTTGCTTTCACATGAAAGTCGTGCCAGTTTCCACCTCTCAGGGGAGTAAACAAAGTACGTGATGTAGGCTATCCATTTTTACCAAGACTTCCATCTTGGGGAAGTGGCTGAGTAGGTTAGACCGTTGACGATTAGTTGGGACCGAGAGAGCGTGGGTTCGAATCTCGGATTGGATTCAGCCCCAACAAGTACTAGAATCTGTACTTTACTGAGTAGGGGTAATCGCTCATTTCATGTTGATGACTTACCATGAAATGAGCCGATTTCGTTGGGGAAGCCAGTTGATATATCGGAATTTTGTATTGACTTAATAGTTCTCATAGTTACATAGTGACTTACAATGTTTATTGGTGGTTTCATTTTCTACAATTAACAACCTCAGCTATGTAATGAATACCTGATTTTTACGCTTTGATTCTTTTTATGTTTCTTGTGCCACCGTCCTTTTCACCTTCCTGTTTCAGGAACGACGGACCGGATCGAAATTACAACGTAATAGTGAAAGGTAGTGTTGTTTTATATTCTGTCGTTGCTATGTGTAATATAGTATTTAAAAAAAGAAACGCATAACCGAGATATCTGTTGCGAAAATGTTGTATTTTCAAACATGTATAACTCGTCCACAAATAGACTTTAGTACATTAATGTTCACATCAGTTTAGAGGAAGGAAATGTCTATACAACCAAGTGGATAACTTTAGATAATGGAGACGCTGAGCGCGATGGTGACGGCGTAGCACGGGATCCCGACGTCGGGTCCCCTGTCTCAAAGTCCAATCTCTCTCAACCTGTTCCGTACAGTTTGACCGGATATCTCCCGAAGTCCAGGCACCCTGGCTGCTGTGCTCTCACCCGTGGCAGCACGATTACGCAAATGTAGTGCCCGGATGTACCGATCTTGGGCTGCAGTGGTGACTCGAGGTCTGCCTGTACGGGGACGGTCATTTGCTATGCCTGTTTGGTTGTAACGAGCTGCAAGCCGTGATATCGTGTTCAGACTAATATTCAGACCCCTGGCAACAGAAGATTAGTAATCTCCAGCGTGCATTCTTTCAATGGCGATGTTCCGTGTCGCAGCGTCAAGACCTGGCGTAGTGATTTGACTATGAAACTCCTTCAAAACGAATGCCGATTTCAGAAAGTAGTCTGGAATTATATAGCCAGACAGTGCATGCTCTTTGCTACACAATTTCAACTGGAAGGTGATTTCTGTTGCGTTGTGGCGATGCCTTTTTAATCCTTGTAAGAAATGCCATTGATTTTTTACTTGTGCAATTGTGTGAAATCATGTTATCAACACTTTTGTTACATATTTTCACGATTGTTTGAACACAATTGGCAATTAATAGATTTGAAAAATACAAAACGCCTATGCGTTTCTTTTTGGGATAGTATATATACACGACGTGTTTGTGACGTTTCCCAACAAATGCACATTCACCTTTAAATTCTTTTTTCCAGATATAAACTTTACTACACCTGATGTTGTGCCTGGGGTAAGTACATATATAAGTATGTTGGATATGTACCCAAATGAACTGCCATGTGCAGTTTTTTACTTCAACAATAACTATACATTATTGCATGAAATACCTGATCGGGGAGGACACAGGCAACTGTAATGTGGATGCTCGCTTTAGTTTCTGGTACTAATACACGTGTTGAAGACTCAGATTAAAACACAATTTCATAATGTGTATTTCATAATCATCTCTGATTTTTAGCGATCCATTCATAGAATTTTCACAGCTATTTTTCAATTTACGCCAAACGGGATTCGTTTCTGAAGATACTGTAGTAAAGACTGGGTATTCTTTTGTACTGACATTCTATGTTTACTTTTATTTATTATTTTATATACGTGAATTGAAGACTGCATAGTGATTACTTTCCTCAGAATCAGCCCTACTTCACGTTATTCCCTGATGGGGAAGGTATACAATGCCTACAGAATTCAACCTGTTCCTTTCCTATCTATTCTGCAACCAAGCGAAGTGGGTAAGAAAATTCACAGAAGTGACTACATGCACCCGTAGACAGGTTAAAAAATCTATGATATAAAATATCCGTTAATAACGTTCAAAAGCGAAATATATTTTGCAAAATAGTTAACAAAACACATGTTAATATATATGTACGTTTACACCATAAGGTGATGGAGAGCTACATCAATAAATAGTGATAATATACAAATTTTTACATATTGTTTAAAAAGCGGAAGGATCACATCTTTGAAGTATACAGCATCAAATTTGGAAGAAATCTCTGTCGCAACGCCAGTGCGTATAGCCAGACATGGACAGAATGTGTTTGTGAGTGATGTCTCCATAACATCTACCCAGATGGGACGGTTGGATTTATGTTTCCAGGCGCTTGATGACAGTGGGTAAGAAATAAAATAATAATTATATTCACCACAACTGGAATATGCTTAATTAAATAATTCAAAATTTTGTATCCATCTTTTAAATGTATATTTTGTAACGTGTTTGTATAAGTTACGGAAGAGATATTATTATTATTTTTTAATTTAATTAATTTTATTTCCCATTTTCATGTATTACAAAAGATGTACAGTGACATGTATAAAAATACATAACAGGATTGTGGAGCATGGTTGCATGGCATATTACAAGTGAGGTTATTGTTATTATCATGATATAGAAATAGCACTTGGTACATACAACATGTAGCACAGAACTATGTGTCATGATATAATAATGTGCAACAGATGGCACACAAAAGTGTTGTACAAACTACAATATGTTATCAATATTATTATTAAATTGTAATGATGTACAGAAATTAGCGATAATTGTGTAAAGTATTTGCCAAGAAAAGATTTTTATTTATTTTACCCATGGGGAAGATTTCTTCTTTTTATAAAAGTTTTACGGAAGAATTATAACGGACAAACATTTAATGAAATGTCGTGTACATTTAGACACTTTCTGCTTGCAGTGCACACTCCGCAGAAAGATGTCTTGGAATTACAATGGAAATTACTGGTTAGTACTGTTCTTTTCTGCATAACTGCCCCTTTAACTGTTGTATTTTGCTTTCATTGTCCAAATCCATGCTAAAACCATATATTTCAAAATATCAGATCTAAGAGGATCTTTACGGTGGCTGTACCTATGAATAATATTCAGTGACAGTTCAGTGCCTTTCAGACTGAAATTGACTTAACCGAAACAGAACTACATAACATATACCTTTGATGTTAAAGGTACGTATTGAATAGCCGGGGTCACCTTCGATAATCTTTCACTTCTGCATGAGCGGCAAGTACTGAGGAGTGGGGTTCGGTCATTGAAAAAACACATTTTTAAAATCTAGAGTATAAGCTTTTACCTTCGGGCCGCCGCTGCACAGTGCCAATCACCAGGGGCGGATACAGCTTTTTGAGAAAGGGTGGGTGGGGTGGGGTGGGGGGTGCACACTATTGAGAAAAGGGAGGGTGCACACTTCATTTTCACCAGAGTATCAATGGTCATTTAATAAACTTTCAGGACAAAAGGGGGGGTGCGCACCCCTGCACCCCCCCTCTGGATCCGCCTATGCAATCACCAAGACTAAACGAGCTTTTGTACCTCAAAAGTATTGAAATTATAAACAAATGTTGAATGTCCAGATATCATCTTGTTCATTTAATTATATTTAAGCACATATTTATCCCTTTTTATGTTTCTAGTAATTTCATATTTTATGTTGTTATTCATTTGTAATTTTGTCAAGCTCTGTGATCCAAAACGAATTCCGTTTAAGGTAATAAAGTATTGTCTGTCTGAATCATTTGTCCCTTTGCAAGTCGCCATATTGCTAACAGACAGCGAAGCTGTACACAACGTCGAAACTGGGTTTATCCTTTCTGATCACCTGTCAAAATGAACATCCAGCCCAAGTCAACCTATGGTGTGGGATGGCATCACAATGACCGAACCCCACTCCACAGTGTGTAAGGTGGTGACACTGAACCTTCAGCAGCATAACATAGAGGGCCAGGTCCAGCAATGAGTCCATATCTTTTCCCGTTAAACACGTCATAATAGGGTGACAGGTGCGTCAGGGTGCTAGGCTGCAGACCTGAACATGGTCAGGTGCTGCAAGAGGAGTGGGGGAGACTAATTAAATAACCACTAGGAGACATACTCATCCATAGCAGTATGCATTTTGACGTACCGCGGCGGCATTACGCACTATTGATCCAGAAACGTTGTAATTTCCAATGTTTCGCCTATCTTGCTTCAAGATCTATCGCCGTCATAGGGGCGGAGGGGTAGCCTTGTGGTTAAAGTATTCGCTCGTCACGCAGAAGGCCCGGGTTCAATTCCCCACATGGGCACAATGTGTGAAGCTCATTTCTCCTGGAATATTGCTACAAGCGGCGTAAAACTCACTCACTCATTCACTAACGGAGTCATAACAACTGCCGTCATACTGCGTTAGTGGTTGTAAAGTGTTCACATTGTTTTTCCTCAAAATACACCCAATACTAGAAACTAAAAGTTTTAGTGTCCGCTGCTTTCAACTCCACAAAACACATGCTTGAGAAAGACTCTTCAAGACCCTGATACTCGGTTCACAAACATATTCTTCTCAATATATATTTACCTTCAGTTTACATGTTTATGTTTAGATCCATGCACTGCATCGCCATGTCATAGTGGTGTGTGTGAAAACAATGGCACAACCTTCAAATGCAAGTGTTTCCCGGGATTTACTGGTCGCCTCTGTGATCAAGGTATTGTAAATAAATGAATGAACATGTGTAATACTAATAAACTGAACACTTTACATATTGTCCACGGATCGTACAACAAGGCTCTTCATCTTCGCTACTTCAATGTCAATGGGCGGTGGGGTAGCCTTGTGGTTAAAGTGTCCTCTAGTCACGCCAAACACCCGTGTTCGATTCCGGACATGGGTACAGTGTGCGAAGCCCATTTCTGGTGTCCCCCGCCGTAATATTGCTGGAATATTGCTAAAAGCGTCGTAAAACTATACTCACTCGCTCGCTCACTCACTATCCAGCGGTTGGCACAGCACAGCTTGCTTCAGCAGAGATTGGCATCTTTACACTCATCACGAGGCCATTAAGGAATTTGTTGCCCATACATATTAATCACTTACAGTTTAACAGCCATACTTCCATCATGTATTGTTTTGACATTTATCTTATATCTCTAATGTATAGGTTGGTTTATCTATGTATTGAAGATGTTTTAGGAACGTTTTTGTCTTGTATTATCGGGATTATCTGGTAGTATGTAGACATTTCTGATGTGAGTGAGTGAGCATGGTATTACGCCGTTTTTAGCAAGATTCAAGCAATATCATGGCTTGGTTCACCAGAAATGAGCTTCAGACATTGTAACCATGTGGCGAATCGAACCCGAGAGAATAATTTAACCTTTAACCTGCCCCTCACATAGTTCTGATGTATATTTATTTTGGGTCATTCTTGTCATCTTACGAATTGTACGTATCGGGATGTAAATGTTTATTGGTACCGTTGTTGAGTATTGTATGTTCAGTCCTATATTTGTCTGTCTACACCTACCTTGATGGTTTTGCTATTTGTGTCCATCTTAGTTTAGAAAACACAATTGGCACAAATTACTCTCTCTGATATCCGTGCGCAAGGTATAAGAACCTTGGTACTTTCCAGTAGGGCTGAGTATTGGCAAATAAATTGTATTGCAATATATTGCGATTGACGTACCCGTATTGCGATATATTGGGAACTTAAGTGTTTGACAGTAAGTGACACTAATGGTAGATGTCGATCCTATTTTCTACATTATAAGTCCCAAAACAGTATATGTTTTGGTCCTGATAACAGTAATCTCAAAATTAGGTTGCATAGTCAGGGATACTAGTTTATTTTTTATACAATTTATAGCATTACAGTATGTCGTTTTGTCATTGAATAAAGAAATGAAAACATCTGCTGTGAATGAAAGTCTGGGCAGATTTTAACTTAAACCATAAAGATAATCACGAAAATATCAGATGTTCTTTACCCAATATAACGGTTCTCAGAAAAAAATATTACAATACGTATCGTTTGAAAAACGTACTGCGGTATACCGGTAATACCGTGCAGTCCTACTTTCCAGTGTAATAGTCGCCAGGTATTGCCGGACCATTGCGGGTCGTACTGTTCCTGGGCGGTCAGGTAAAACTTACGCTAGTAAGGTAAAACATTCGCTAGTAAGGAATTACGGGGTGATTTTGATCTGCAACTGACTTACTTCTGGTGTTACTGAGCTATACGTACGGGCTAGGGAATCATATTTTATACCCCTTGTATATAGTATTCTGTGGTAAAGTAAGTGCGATCACCGTCATCTCAGGAGGTCAGCTCCGTGACACGTCTTGAGCTGATCATGAGCAAACCAGAATAACGTTATTACCAAATCTGGGAATATGCACCAGACCTTTGTTCACGCTTTGCTCTACAGATTGGTTGAAAATATTTACAAGCATTTTTTAAAGTTATTGTTACAATAATGTTAATTCAGTTCTGAATTTCAGCTGTTTTGTGACATAACATGAACGTCATAGTGTGGAAAGTAGAGAATAAGTCTGATCGAAAACACTTTTCCCCGTCAGATATCGACGAATGCCTGAGCATACCATGTCAGCACAATGCATCCTGTCTTACAAGTCCTAACTTTGCTGATAAGTACTTCTGTATGTGCGTTGCGGGCTTTACTGGCAAGAACTGTGAAACACGTATGTATTACGTCTATGAAAGGTATTTTAGAAGTTGGGAAGTATAACAGAGACAGCTGTTATGGATCACAACATCTTTTATTTCGTGAGTGCCACGTTTCGGTACAGATACTTGTACAGTTGTCAAGCACACAATGGTAGGATTTTGCTTGACAACGGTACAATAATCTCTACCGAAATATCGCACTCGCGGAATAAAAGAAGTTGTTGTCCATAAAGGTTGTCTATAACGTATGTAGTAATTACATTATGTACGTCCGTGGGGTGTTACAGCAAGACATCTTTGTCTTATTTGTGTCATCTCGTCATTTTTGACACTGTAAATCATCCATATTTAACGGTCCATGAGTGCAGTGGTATCCTCGAACATAAACTCTGTCAAAAAAAGAAACGCAACCCCTGTATTTTAGAGATTTTGATCTGAAGTTCTAAGACGACACAGCATTTTTATTATTTAAGACAGAAGTCTGAAATTTGGCAGAATAATAACCAAGATGGGCATGTTTAAAATTGTCATTTCAAAAGTCATCTCACAGACACCAGTTTGTCACCAGGGGGGGCGTCTTTCTCAGTATCTCGTATGAGCACCACGAGCTGCAATCACTGCACGGCATCTCCTTGGACAAGAACGGATAAGACGCCGGATTCTTTCCTGGGGAATGGCTCTCCACTCCTCCTGCAGTGCAACGCCGAGCTGTTGCAGCGTCTGTGGCGGCGGCTGACGTTGACGTACGCGTCGACCCAGAGTATCCCACAGGTGTTCAATAGGGTTGAGGTCTGGTGATTTAGAGGGCTATGGCAAGACATTGACGTTGGAATTCTGCAGAAAGTTCATTGTTGCACGTGCAGTATGAGGCCGGGCGTTGTCTGGTTGAAAAATCTGTGTCTGTTGGTCAATAATCGGGAGAAGGTGAGGCTGTAATACGTGGTTGATGTAACGTTGGGCTGTCAGGTTCCCTTCAACGATCACCAAGTCTGATTTCTGGTTGTATGAGATGGATCCCCAAACCATAACGCTTCTCCGCCAAATCTGTCCCCCCTGTCGGACGCAGATGGGCGCAAAACGTTTATGACGTCTCCTATACACACGTTTTCTTCCGTCGTGATGTTGCAAAAGAAAACGGGATTCATCAGAAAACCAGATGCGCCTCCAGTTTTGTTAAGTCCATATCCTTACGTTGTTGCACCACCTGAGTCGTCGGCGGAGATGTAGGGGGCGTAGTACAGGTCCAACAACTGGTCTACAGGCACGTAAACCCGCTTCTTTCAGACGGTTCCTAATCGTTTGAGCTGACACTCTCCTCAAACCTGGTATTTGTGTTGCAGTCACGGTTGGTAGGGCATGCCGATTACGCAGGTGATGGACCCGGATGTACCGATCTTGAAGGGGGGTCGTGATTCTTGGCCTTCCACTTCTCGGGCGATCGTTGGTCAAATTGAAGTTGTTGTAGCGGCTCCAAAGTCGGGATATCGTTGTTTTGTGAACATTTAGGTGCCGTGCAACAGTTCCAAAACTTTCTCCGGCTTGAACACGACCAATGGCGATATTTCGGTCGGCAGCACTCAATCGTGGCATTTTTTAACACAGCTTTTCGGCGACAAATGAATGAATATAATACGAAAGCACATGGGCTTTTATACACCCCTACATTAACTGCCATTTTCATGATTTGCATGTGGTTTTTTTGTGCGAAGTCACCATGGGGGTCATTTCATGCGTTGTGACGGAATAAGCAATAAAATACACTTATGCGTACAAATGCAGTTGTTTGGATGGTAATCTTCATTAATTACGTGTATAATTTCAATACATTCGAATAAAATTTAGTTTGGAAGCAATAACTTCATTCAAACGAATTTTTCATATCTGAGGACAGGGGTTGCGTTTCTTTTTTGACAGAGTTTATATATGTGTATATTGAACAGGAACTCTATAATATTATAGGTACGCTTATCAAAATGATATTGAAATGAAATGGAGATTGGTACATAATGCACAATTATAAATTTGTTTGTTTGGTTTTTTGTTTACCGCCGCGCTCAGCAATATTCCAGCTATATGACGGCGGTCTGTAAATAATCGAGTCTGGACCAGACTATCCAGTGACCAACAGCATGAACATCGGCCAACACAAATGGGATACGATGCCATGAGTCAATCAAGTCAGTGAGCCTGACCACCCGATCCCATTGCTGAAGATCAGAACCGCCTCCGTGGTGTAGTGGTTAGAGCGTCCGCCCGGAGAGCGGAAGGTTGCGGGTTCGATCCCCGACCGCGTCATACCAAAAGACGTTAAAATATGGTACTTGTTGGTCCCAGCCTGGCGCTCGGCATTAATGGGTACTACAAGGACTGGTCGGCTCGGAGTCGGTATACTGTGTCTGAGTGGGGTATTCATGCTTCACTGCGGCATGGTATCTCAGTGGGCTAGCACTATAAAACCAGCTTAAGTCTGGGCTAGCACATACACACATACACACGCATGCAC